TTCGACCGAAGTGTCCGGGTCCAAATAGTGCTCCGACCAAAGTGTCCGGGTCAAAATAGTGCTCCGACCAAAGTGTCCGGGTCAAAATAATGCTTCGACCGAAGTGTCCGGGTCCAAATAGTGCTCCGACCAAAGTGTACGGGTCCAAATAGTGCTCCGACCAAAGTGTTCGGGCTGTAATATTGCTCCGACCAAAGTGTCCGGGTCCAAAGAGTGCTCCGACCAAAGTGTTCGGGCTGAAATATTGCTCTGACCAAAGTGTCCGGGTCCAAAGAGTGCTCCGACCAAAGTGTCCGGGTCAAAATAGTGCTCCGACCAAAGTGTCCGGGCTGAAATAGTGCTCCGACCAAAGTGTCCGGGTCCAAATAGTGCTCCGACCAAAGTGTTCGGGCTGTAATATTGCTCCGACCAAAGTGTCCGGGTCCAATGAGTGCTCCGACCAAAGTGTCCGGGTCAAAATAGTGCTCAGACCAAAGTGTCCGGGTCAAAATAATGCTCCGACCGAAGTGTCTTGGTCCAAATAGTGCTTCGACCAAAGTGTCCGGGTCCAAATAGTGCTCCGACCAAAGTGTCCGGGCTGAAATAGTGCTCAGACCAATGTGTCCGGGCAGAAATAATGCTCCGACCGAAGTGTCCGGGTCCAAATAGTGCTCCGACCAAAGTGTCCGGGTCCAAATAGTGCTCAGACCAAAGTGTCCGGGTCCAAATAGTGCTCAGACCAAAGTGTCCGGGCTGAGACGCTCTCAGGAACTTCAGGTCACATCGAGAATGCAAAAATTTTTGAGTGGGCAAATTTACGGCGGACGTTTTTTTGGCCCCCGGACGGTTTGGTCGGTTTAACGACTAAAACGTCCGCCGGACGTCTAGGTCGTCCGGACGTTTTGGTCGGTTACAAACGACCAACCGTGCTTCGGTTCTTCTGCCGTCGGTTCCTAGTATACCAGCTGGAGTCCCGCTCACGTGCGCCCATGAACTCAACGATTACTGCGCTACCCACTAATTCGTGTCTTTTTTGTAGGCGGCAAAGCTGGTATACCGATCCGTTCTGATTTCGCATATCGCCGTCGAACTTGAAGGGAGGTCTGTTATCAGGCTGGCCGATATCAGCGCTAGCCCGAGATTATTCTATTTGTTAACGTTGTGTCGACTCTGATCAACATCGGCCCGGCCTCTAGGTCTCTCTTTCCAGTCGTGTAGTTGGTCTCGGTAGGGTTTGGTCTGGTCATCCCGTCAACCACGGCGCTTCGCGTCCCGGCGAGAATTGCCGGGTCAGCTGTCCGGCGTGATGCAATACTGGATGCAACTTAGACAGCCGGTCGGCCGGATGTATCAGCAAGCCGTATTGCACAAGGGCTTAGTCCAGGAATAGCAACCCCACTTAGTCAAGGCGCAGCCTCGCCTGGCACATTTGCCAGCTGTCTGAGAACAAATGCCAGCCGCGGGCACACGATAACCGGAAGATAAACCCTGCAGACCAGAACGAATGGTGCGGCAGCCCACGCTGGAGCGAACACGACATCGGACCCAGGACCAGCGTTAACAAACCCCGTCGGAAAGTGACAGTCGGACAACGGCGGCCACGACTACGACGACCGACATCGAGGATGATCCTTCCCGCCAACATAAATTGTTTGGTCCAGCTCGGCGAGACGCCAGAAATACGGTGCCGGAGTAATTGACCGAAGAAGAGTCGCGGTATTGACGCGACCGCCCGGGTCTGGCAGCAAGCTACCGGAAAATTTGAGAGGAGCCGTGCCAGGATAATATCAAAAGTTCATCCTGTCGGATGTGCCGCAATCGTCCACCACGTCAATCAGTTTTCTCGTGTCCCTATTGCTACGGACATACGGCATGTAATTACGGACATGCGGCATATATTTAGTAACGTGTATCGAGTAAACAGCGGTCTTGTGCCTTAAGGATAATGTGTAGTAATTATCGTGCTGTCTTATCAATTATAAGCATATGGGCTATTAAGAAAGATGTACGTACTGTCCGTTGTCCACTCTGTGTGTAGGTGAGACTGCAAAACATGGCAATTATGTATGCGTGCACTTGACCTAGAATATTTAAACGCAGTGTTGGTGTGCATTGGATTTGAATGGGTTTTAGTTTTCCCTTAGTCCGTTTCGGAATTTTTCGGTACTTTTGAATTAAAGTTAAAATACCAACTTTAGCATTGCCGCTTAGCTGCTGCGTAAAGTCTGCAGCGATACGTAGTAGTAGAGCGTATAATGTATCACTATTCCTTCCGTCAGTTAGATCCATCGCTCAGGATGGCTTCGTGCGGCTGCAGCGTTCGATCTTGAAGCCTCCTATCTGTTCCGGTCCGTTTCGACTGTCCGTCCGGCTTCCGTGGGTTTGTCCGTCTCGCCGTCACGGTAGTCTGGGCTGCCGTGTCGTTCAATCCCACAGAACCAAGGGGCCGCGGAGTAGCACTCCGCAGCGCCGGGCTGTCGTCAGATTTGTCTCCAAGCCGGTTACTCGTTTCTCAAGCTGTTCCGTCCGGTGTATCGTTGTTCCCAGTTTGTGTTCTAAGTTGACGTATTTCAAAAATACATCCGTCTGCTCCTTCAGAGCTTTGCAAGTGCACGCGATGAACTCGGTTGACTCGACCAGAAATTTTCTGAGCGTTTCCTTGTACGCGTCCCTTCTTTTGTTGCCGTACCAAGCTGTCGCTGTAGCATATGTATCGCTTCGAGTCGGTTGGTGGCTTCTGCCATGTCCGCATTCTCCGCTTTCAAGGTGGTGTTAGTCGCATCCTTTTCCGCCAAGTTTGCCTTCTTCCGGTCGACCATGTTCCGGGCGGCAGCTAACTGGACTCCCAGATGGGCTAATTGTCCGTTTATCGTGCCATCGGTGATCTGGTCCGGCGGCCCGCTAAGTTTCTGAAACTGCTGTCCTTCCGGCGTCTGAAATACCGCCTCGTTTGGGTCGAATCGAGTTCTGTCCGCGTTCGGTGTCGATTCCGGGCTGCCGTCTACTAGAGACACTGGAACAATTCCGGCTCGCACATTGTCGACCGGCAACGGTATGGGCGACTCGCCCATCAAGCGGTCGACTGAGATCTCTGTCGAATTCTGCCGAATAACCGTTGGTGTGAGCTGGTTCGCTCCATCCGGGCCGGGTGATCTGGCTGCCGTGCCGGGTTACGATGCACGCACTGCGGTTGTGTTGCCCATTCTCCGGATTATGGGTTCACCGGCTTGAATTAGGCCGCAGTGTCCGCCGGGACGCCGGTTTGCCGAGCGGGCATGTGTGATGCTCGGCCTACTTCAGCGGGCTGTCCATCCGTGTCCTGGAGGGTGTTGTGTCCGTTTTGTTGATTGCAGTCCGACTAAAGTGTCAGCTGGCTTCAGACGTGTGTAACCGTCCAAAACAACCGGCGGTCATCTGAGACGACCGGTCGTTTTGGACGGTTACAGACGCGCACTACGCAAATGTCACAATGAATGACTAGTTCTTTATGGCGGACAAAACTATTTTGATAAAATCTCGGATATATAAAAAGCATTTCTTACCTTTGCCTAAGTTTCAGATAAAATCAACATTTCTTTCCAGTCTAAAGGAATCGACTTTTGATCGTAGGTGCACCTGTGGCAAAGGCGACAATGGCTCTTGTCTTGTCTATGCTAACGTAACTTGCGGTATAACCCAAAATACGTTCTGCTTGCATGAAAATATCCAAACTCGTAACGTAACTCGCACGCTCGTTACACTTTCTTTAAGAGTTAGCGAATCCAAAAAAATTGCCCGCACTAGTTGTTACCCTCTGATGTCGAGGGAACCGATATATAACTAGTGCGGGCAGTTTGAGGGAATGTGTTTGCAGAGTTGCCCCTTATTACCGACTACCAAGTGTCCCCTATTATAATTATCCTATTCCCTTCCATACTGCGGCAAAATAGCTAACAAGCTGTTTTAACACAGTGTGCGGTAAAATAGCCAACAAGCTGTTTCGCCCACCATAGTGCGGCAAAATAGCCAACTGGCTATTGCGGCGCAGTGTGCGGCAAAATAGCCTGACGGCTATTCAGACCCCTATTGTTATACTGCGGCAAAATAGCCATAGCCATAAAAATATCAAAACATATGAGACAAAACCGCAAGGTACCGTACTGTGTCAAAAATCTCCGGCTGGTTCGAAAAAGGTTTTTGCAGCTGGATTTCAGTTAATTTAAATCGAATTTAGTTTAGTTACTTAATAGATGATGTTAATAAAAACGTCTGTGTGAAGAGATGAAAGGTGTTTGTGGAGAAAGATGCAAAATAGGAAATTACTTTCGGAACGCGTTTTATGCGTTTTACCCATTTTACTGCGCCATACCGGTATCTCCTCCTGTACGCCTTTGTACAGTACAAGTGAATGTGCGCAACATCCGGTTGCAGACTGATATGGCGCAGTAAAATGGGTAAAAGGCATAAAACGCGTTAACCCTCAGCGGCTTCTCTGAGAATGTCTTTCAAAGCAGTGTTATAACTGTCACGGGATGTGAAACTCATAACTGATAAAAGTCTTTATATTTACAGTTACCGTAATTATCGAATTGAACCTCCCCTCATAATTAGGCCCCCCTCCGTAATAAGCCCCCCTCCCTTAACCAGTTCGAAAAATAGCGCCTCCCCCCGAATTTACCGCCCAGGGGGGCGTTATTAAATGTCAAGCGCCACAAAATGATAGATATACCGCAGATTACTTCATAATGATTGTTATGATTTAATGAATAAACGGTCAACAGTCACAAAAATAATGTGGTGCGATGCTTCAGAATGCTGCTCGTAAGGTAATGAAATTGCAAATTTTCGTATCTACTGCTCAGTATCAATAGAACAGTATTCGCAGTTATTAGAAGAATAACGGCCCCCTCCAAAAAATTGTGTTTGAAAAATAGTACCACCCCCCAAAATAATGCCCCCTCCCCGAAATAAGCCCCCCTCCTCCAGAACGTTTAAAATATTTGCACCCCAGGGGTGCAAATTCGATAATTACGGTAAACGTTTTCGCGGAAATCGTATGCATGTGAGGCCTAGTGAGAGTGCTCTAAACCTTAGAATTATAGCCACGCATTTTGCAAATCTGTGAACGTCGTTTTTTAACTGGATGTTGACGCTGAATCAAACCTAGATGTACGTATTTAACTGCTGCATTTCGTATTTATCTACCCTAGATATTTTTATCACTGGAAAACATACTGAGTAGTGAGTGTTAATTTCGAAAACCAGGTAGCGACACAGTTTTTCTAAAATTTTTGTATGTAGATCATAGAAGCAGATACACTCATTTGCCGCAAAAATGGACAAAGGCTACTCCACATTAGTATTGCTCTCTTTGCATAACCAAATCACTATATGCCTGTAATAATGTGCGTACATTCTAAATTTTTAATACACTGCGCCGCTTTGATCAGCTCGCTATAACCGGTACTGAACTGATTCAAGCACGTGGTGGAACCGGAGAAATCGCAGACCGGTTTACTGCTGGGATGCTGCATAAACGGTATATCCTTGGCCGTGCAGCCCCACTGCTTGATCAGCGGCAGGATGATGTCGTTATCCACGTGATCCTTCTCGGCCTGCGTCCAGCTGGTCGGATTGGAGCGGCCGCTGATGGTGGCGAAGGGCGAATCGCAGTTGCCGGTGAAAGGATTAATAATCAGGCAGACGTAGTAAAACTGGTAGTTATCGTCTTGGTACAGGGTCAACGAACGTGCCGGCACTGAAATTGACAAATACAGATATGTGTCATAGCCCATGTTCGCGGCTTTAATGCTTAAATTCCGCGTGTTTTATTGGTAACGCTTGGCAGAGAAATAATATTAATACAGTTTTTTGTGAAATAATGTTATTATTAAAAGAATTATTCTATAATTCGGAGCGCAAAGGTAATTCGATCAACGGAGCGCTTAGAATTTAGCGGCCATCCCCCAATCTTTACTTAGATTTAAGAGTTAATGATGCATGAAATAATGGTATTGTAATAATAGTATCATTATAAATCTTTCAGTTTATATTGATATGATTGATTTCGCTTATTTAAATTCAACGCAACTGTTCTACAGTTTTACCGGCTGGCGAGTTGCCGTCTCCGTTGTCGACGGTTAAAAAGCGGAAGCCGACATTCTGCCCGGTGGTAGCAAGATACCCGGTCCACGAGCCATGATTGCACTGCGTGTCGTTGATGGAATTGTACTGAACTAACTCGCACCACACAAAATCCCCCGTGAAATTGGTCATGGGCAGCGGTGCCGGGCCCAGAATATGCCAGAATAACCGCATACCGACGGCTTCCGCCTCCGGAGAGAACATGGACCGGTACACCCACCAAATGCCGGATGCCTGCAGAAATTGCCAATTAGCGCAAATGTATGAGAATGATGTGAAATGCACACAACTGGCAAAAAACCGAAAAACTTCATGTTTAACTATTTGTATTAGTTGTTCCATAGGCAACGGTCCGAGAAATTAGTTTTGATAATCCAATGTACCCAAAAAAATGTACAGCAAAAGAAACAGTGTGCGAAATTACGTAAGTACTGACGGAGCAAATCAAAATCTTATTAAATAACTCTAAAAATGTACCAATTATCGTATAACTGTGATGCTCGTACACTGTTTAATTAAAATAAGTCAAAGTTTAAATCAATAAAACTACAACTACAATTTGTTGAAATTCTGCGGTCGGTGTACCTTGCTAGGATCATAAATCAAATTAGACGGCGCAATGGACGGCCAGTTGCAGCTCGAGGCGGTATTGGAGCTCGACGTCACACTGTAACTAGTTGAACTTGACACTGTTGTTGTCGGCTGGCCTAGATTAATAACCCACAGATTATTAACCTCCATGACTTATTAAATTCAGTTAAACAGTGATATTCTTCATGATAGGCAGACACATCTAGATTATATATTGTTAATGTTTATACTACAACCGCCCCAATTGGCGTCTACCTGTTCAAATTGGTACATGATTTCGGGATAAGTACATAGGAATAATTAATGGAAAATTACATAAGAATAATTAATGGATAAGCCAGTAATCGAATTTCTATAATGCTGGCTTATATTGTTTCTATGTTTTTCCACTTGTGGCCCAATAATCATATAAAAGCAATTATTACGTACTAATAAATTTCGGACCCTATAAACAAGTATATATGTATTTTGTACATACGTGTACTACGACGTTAGTCGAATATCGGACACTTTCAGAAAATGGATTCGCGTACCAGACAACAGAGACAGGGAATTCACGGCGTTGTTTACATTAGAAAACTAATTAATATATTTTTACGAAGTTCGCGTACAAGCTTGTATAAAAGACTAATTATCACGTAAACAATTTTTAAAAAGTTGTTCTCATGTGGATCAACGCGGAGAATAATCGTATCTCTGGTGTCCGGTACGCGAATCCGTATTGCGAAAATATCCGGAATGCGAAAAACTTCAAGGTGTTTGAAGAGTGAGTCCATTTCCGGAAAACTGCACGAGTTTCCTCCGTACTTTTGTACTTACCTCGTTGAGGCATTGGTGGGCGCTACAGCCTGCATGCCTTTCACTAACGAGGTGACACACGGTGCGGATTGGCCGGGAAGGAGCATGTCGGTTTGGAGGAGTCGTAGATCTGTTTGGGTACATTATCCACTTTGACGCACAACGGATGCAGCGCCGTATTAATAAGGCTGTCCAAAGTGGCCATGTCGCTGGCTGACAGCTGATCGGGGCTGGTGCGTGTTTCCGCCCATATAACCGGCGTATCGCACGTTACGCCATCGGCGTTGGGTTTCTGACAACCGTACCCGACCATTAGCTTTTGATAATCATGGTATAAAATCCAGTATCCCGTCAAACCAAAGAAAAAACATCAGAGTTATAATGTGTGCAGTATGCATGGCATATCATGCCGGTAGGCTGAGGATGATAAAAATACATGCTCGTATATCACATTACATTTTCCCGGCGCGGCTAGCACTGAATAAAGCAGCTAGAAAAAATTCTGAAAACAGAATAACTTATTTCGAGTCTGCTTGGTACGAACTAATGAAAATGTTTGGTAGCTGGTAAAACTTGTCCCTTGGTTTCCATCGGGTCAACGACTAAATTCGTACCACCGTATACGTAGAGCGAAGCTAGTAACAAAGTATGTCAAGTTTTGTTTAACGTAGCTTTTCGACAAGCGCTTCGTCCGCATAGATACTGTACATACGTAAACTGCACTCATACTTGTAAGGTATGACTCCACTTACACAGCTTCGGGGCATCAAATTAAGGTTGATGGTTTCAGCTTGTCTAGTATGCATCTTCTCCAAAATCTGCAACCCAACTTGTGTCAATAGAAGAATATAATAATTCCGCTGGTTGTGCAGCTAGTGCGTAAATGTCGACCATTAAAATGCTCCGCCACTCTGTACTAGTCAAACTGGTGATTCTCAGCGTTATCGGTACGTGGCACTCCTGGTTGTCCTTAAGGTACTTATTTTGTGATTGCTTGCCGGCATCCACTGAAATTACTCGTATTTTCTAGCACTCGCCGCGGATGCAGCCAGATCCGCGAGACAGACATGCTCTGCGTATCCCGCAGTGGCAACCCGCCAGGGTGGCGATGATCCAGCGCAGGTTTTTGAGCTATACGGACTATTACTTCATAAACTAAATCGATTCGGCAAAACCCAGCTCGACTGCATCAGTTGCTATGCATACAAAAATATATAGGGCATTCATATGCGTCGGATTACTACGCTGGTCTGGTCCGAAATTTTTCGGTCAACATAGTGCAGAAAGTTGTACATTGTATTTTAGTTTTATGTTGTACGTTGCAGAAAGCCGGCACGTGGTATGGCTACCGGCAAAACGGCGATGTCACCATCAATCAGCAGGTGACGATCAGCAACCTCGGCACCACGGTGGAAACGTTGACCAACCTGACTGCCGTCCAGCAGTACCAGCAGTCCACCTGGACGACCACGACCAACAGCACCTGCCAGAATGATTACTGGACGGGGATCTACGTCGTCAACGGCATGGAGATCGCCAACGGTGCCACAACCAGCGATGGATACAGCGTTAACCGTAAGTGGAAAGAATATAGGTTTCCGAAAGGTGTGTCTGTGAACCGCCGAATTATTAAGCTTTGTTTCATCCAGGCATCTGGACCTTTGAGCCGGCTTGAGGGCATCTTTCCAGTCAGGAAAATTTATAAGGCAGAAAACAAGTACTTACTTCCGCTAGATCTTACTACGGTATATTACGTGCAAATAAGCCTAGAAAACGTTTGTTTTCAAAGTGAATGATCTTTTACGGAACGTACAATTACGTACAGATCTCATACAGACTGCACGTGCCCTCCCTAAAAAGAACCGGTTTTGGTCAGAATCGCTGGTTTGCGATCCTGCTGCGAGTTTGATCCCATAATATGAGATAAATTAAATCCTTTTTGTGCTTACAAAACTCGTACTGTTGATCGATTTCTCTCTGTTGTAGATCTGAAAGGCAACTCGGTGTTATACCACGACTATCAGAAACTGATGGTGGAATATGGATGCAAAATACCGAAGAAAGACGGCACCTGCGATACACCGCTCTTCTGGGCCAAAACACGGACCCGCCCCGATAAACTGTCGGCCAGTGACAAGGCCGCTTTCGACAGCATCATCACCACGGCATTGCAGCCGTACTGCATTACGCTGGCGATGATGCCGCTGCAGTTGTACGATGACTCCAAACCAACCTGTCCCTACCTCGATCCTCCGTCCTGCTTCGCCACCGTCCTCCAAGGAAACAATGCCACCGTCCCCGCCAATTTTAATGCAGGTCACGCAAATAAATATCTGGAGTAGTCATTGTGTGACATTTATTGTGTCATTGGCTTTTTACTAAACGTTTGTACCTCAACCGTTTTCGAGTCGAGTTGTTTATTTTGTTGTCGAGTTGTTTATTTTGTCGAGTTGTTTATTTATGAATTGTTTATTTTTTTAGGCCAGAGTGCAACGAGTACTACCTCCAGCTGCAAATGGCCAATTTATGTGGCGCCCAAATTAACTTATGATCCACAAACGGTAAGCGCCATGCAGAAGGACGGTTATCTTATGTTATCAGAATTTAAAAAAACTTTTACTTCTTTCAAGTAAAAAGAAGATAAAGCCACGAAAAATATACGACGTGGCATAGTTGTTTTGCCAGATTTTTTTGGCCGTTTCGTTCACGACGTTTTTTCTACCGTGATACTTTTAAAACTGCCGTTTGGTATAAAATCTAAAAATTCAGGATTTATGGTCCCGGCAATGACTGATTGTCGATAGGTGGCCGGTCTGTGGTATGTTTACCGCACTGTTTATTTGCCGGAACCGACGGCGGTGGGCATGAAGTATTTCTGGCACATTCTGAGCAGTTCCCTCCTGCCGGAAACCAACTACACTGGCAACTACGCCTGGGTCGAATACACTCAGTACAACGATCCCTCCGACACCGACTGCAACTACGGCTACTGGACCGGAATGATGTTGACGACCGGACTGGATGTCGGCTTCCGTTTTGTCACCACCGACGCGGGAGATAGCGTCTGTAAGATGGAAGCTCAAGAAAACCGAACAAACCTAAGAAACCCTGAAAATCGTTAAAATAACTAGAAAACTTTAATGCACCTAAGCAATTCTTAAAATAACGGTAATAATCTAAGAAACCGAGAAAACCTAATAGCGTCTGTTTGATGGACAACCAAAGAACCCACGAAAGACCTAAAGAATCTAAGTCCTGTGCTACAGGTCGTTGTAAACAATCCATTGCTTCAAGTAATGTTTTGTTGTGGGTTTTGTGTAGTGCCGCTGTGGCCCATGACAATTTACCTGGATGAGAAGTATACAATCTTCTACGGCTGCAGCACACCGGATCTCCAGATGCAGTTCTGCGCGTCGCCCTTCGCCTTGCTCGGCGCGCGCACCGATCCCGCCACCTGGACGCAGAGTGAGAAGGATCATGTGGACAACGACATTATTACACCGCTGATCCAGAACTACGGCTGTGCCGCTAAGGATATGCGGGTGGTGCCGTCGGTGGGCAGTAAACCGTCATGCGCATTCAAGGGCGCCCCAGCCTGCCTGAACCAGTTCATCGCCGGTTACAACGAGCTGCTTCCTCAAAAGCAGTCCAGCTATTAGTACCAATTAATATCCAGTGATACTTGATTACTTGAAACACTTAAGTATTGTTCAGTCTGGTTGGTTATGAGACCGCACACACGAATCCTCTTATTTTGTTGCCATCCTGCACATTTGCCCCATATTATGAAATATTTGCTACTGCAGCTCTGTCTCAGAAGATAAAAAAGGATTTAGCCGTTATGGTCGCTCATATAGACTGATATAAAATCTTTGCGGTTCACATGTACTATTGCACGTATTTGATTTGCATATGCACGCACATTGCACAGTAACAAAACTAACAACACACCGACAAATAGCAACAGTCATTTGGCGCCGCAGTGAGAAAGGCAATGTATATACGGAGTCCCAGACCTGGGCAGCTATGGAAAATGCACCCACCGTTAGAGTTACTAGGAAAGTGCACCGCTTTAGGCTAGCACTATAAGACCGAAGCGAAGCTACTACTACGAACAGTAAAAGGGAATATAACCCAACAAGGTAATACGTTCAGGTCTGCTTGCCACGACTACTCGTACGAGACTAATAAGACATAAGTTTAAGTGCTTAGTTGTTCGATATTCACGATGGAACGGTACTTGCCGTACTTGCTATTCCGTATAGTGTAAGTAATACAGGAAGTCCTTGAGACGATATTCGTTACAAGAATGTATTTCCGTAACACTAACGTTCTTTACTCACATTAGTAAAAATTTACAAGATGCACGGAGTATTAGCGCCGCTTACTGCTCAAGGTACGAGTAAGTGACGCTTACCTTTTTTACAAACTACCAGCGGTTCATGTTTATCAGCACCTTCGTCGATGACTGCCCGGACTGGGAAAAGGAGTTGATATATGGACAAGCTGCCAAATTGCTGTTTCGGCGGCATTCTAATCGGAGCACCGGACAGGCGATCGTGGACGTGGATTTTATGCTCGAGGGACTATGTAACCACACAATCAAAGCCACCGTGGAGGCTTCTTGGAAGAAAGTGAAAACTCATTTGCGAGATTGTGACGACAGCCGTGGGAAGCCTTCGTGCACCATTATGTGAAGTGGTTACATGACGGAAGTTGTCCATATTTCATTCTGAATGTTTTTTGTATCATAATAGCATTTTTGTCGTCGATTCATCGTTAAAGTAACCGGTCGGCTTCTATTGCTAAACGATAATAATACTGTCGTTCGTAGACTTCTGTCATCATAACAACTGTAAACCTGTTGTTTCTGATATTACACTTCCTTAAGGGGACCGCTAGCCGCTGCATTTTTAGTTTGGCCGCTTTCATAAACTTGCCAAGTTTTATATGCTCTTGTAGAGAATTCTTTTATCTTTATGATGATGTATTGCAAAAAACAGTTAGTAAAACTTCCTTAAAGTTGCACTTAAAAAACCAAGACCGGGTAAGCGCTCATCGAGTAAACTCACTGCTGTAGCCGGCTGGCCATGGCCATATACACCTGCGGCAGGCAGGCGGTCAGATGGCATGTCCAAGCCAGTGGACTGAGCACAGCGAGTTTCTGTCTCTTTTGAGTGGTCTGCCTGACTTCTTTGTGTGCTAAAAGCGCGCGCATGGCCAGCCGGATCAGCCACGATGGGCATCCTGTCTGTCGAACAGCCCATTCTTTGGTTGCAATTTTGAATAACACAAAATTCATGACTTTGAAAATCTAAAACTTGAGAACTAAACATGGTATGGACGCAAAACCAATAGGAAATGGCTATAGGCACCCCCTTTCACCCCCGTTATCTATAGGCACCCCCTTTCGCACCCCCGCAGACTACAGGGACCCCTTTTCGATTAATCAATCTCTGCACCCCGTTGCATGCGAAAGCTATAGGCAACCCTATTTTGTCCGTTAATGCCGTTTTTAAGGTCCAATTTCTTGACCTTAGAATGCAGAAAGTCGTTGCACTACCGGCTCCAGAATTTTTTCTCTTGTAATATGAACTGCATTGTAATAATAGCGGTGTAATTTCTGTCAAAATTTGTAATAATAAAGCAGCAAAAACTGCTCTGTAGTGATAACGTGTGACAGTTCTGTAATAAGCAGCCCATCCGATGATAATCACGATCTGACAGTGACCTGGTCTATCCAACCGCTATCCAAGAAAACGACTTTAAGGACAGTTATTCGGCTTTTTCCGAATTCGAATCTGCCTTCAATGCTTCTAGGCGCCAAAGATTCATAGTCAGACGATCTAAAAGCGGCGCCGATCGTCTGAAAAAAACGACGTGTGAGAATTATCTAATAAAAAAGGGGTGCCTATAGTAAAACAGGGTGCAAAAGGGGGTGCCTTTAGCAGACGGGGGTGAAAGGGGTGCCTATAGTCTCACCCAAGCCAATATCATAAAATCAGTTATTTTCCAGAAAGCTTATATACTGAAACAGCGGTGGCATTCACTACCATACAGCCCATAAAAATGGAAAAAACTGTTTTGGAAAAGTGTTTTTTGCATTTTACTTAAGACACGTTTGAATTTACTTCAGGATGTTTCGGTATATAAGCTTTCCAGTCAAAAACACATTCATTGATACGCATCTGGTTTAAAACGAAGAAACTTTCTCATTCAATATTTCAGTTTGAAATTTTTTCTTTATATGATGAATAGCTCGGTCTAGACACAGGACAGAGAGGATCGCGCTACACCATTGTGTAGAAAATCTCTCTGCGTTCTCTCAGAAGAGTGAAGACACATATCCGGTCATCGTTCCCAAGCTATTCCCGTTTTCCCTAACCCACCCAACTGCGGCTAGGGGTCCCCTTAATGTAAGGTGTGTAAGTAGTGTCATGTAATACACGCTTTCTTGCTTTTTGGTTGCTTTTATAAATCGCATGCATAATTGAATTCATAAACAGTAAAGTTACACGCAGATAAGTCGTTCCGTTACTCATGTTGGGATCCGGCGACATAACTGTTCGCTTTAAAAGAAGAAAACCTATGCTGGCCTTAATGTAGGCCTGGGGCCGGCCCTAGGCATATTTTTGCATCGAATATACAGAAATATATCACAGGCAGGCAGAATTACCGAATGTACTGTAAATATGTTGCAGGCAGAATTTCGCCACATTTTATATAACGCATTTCGCTTGCAATTGTCTTATTTTCCAGCCTTATTTTTTACTTGTTAGTGTAAATACGTAACCACCGAGAATGGTGTTAAGCGGGTCAGCTTACTCAAATGTCAACTCCGTACGTAGAATCCAAAAGGCCGCCGACGGTTCGCCAAACGATCGCTTTACCAGGAAGCAGCGTGTAATCTGTGGAAAGCCAAACAGTTAACGCTCATTAAATCTACACAACCGCTTCTCTACTACCACACCCATTGCACTGCTATTCCGCAAAAAGACATCGTGCGCGCTCCCCGTCATTTTCGATCACCACGTAGAACGGCTAAAATCCGTGAAGGTTTTTCCGTGTGGCATCACGGTTATCCGCCAGAAACATGTCGACATCGCGATTAAACATTCCCCACATCGACCAATCCGTTTTTCGTATAAGACCTTCCACGCGATGAAAGTTTTTTGTAATGAGTGTGCGAGATAAGTAGAATCGTTTGTTCTACCTAGTCAGCATGGCCCGATAAAATCGTACCCAACCCAAAGAGATTCGCGGAGGGTAATTTTGTGGAAAGCTGCAGAAAAGGATCCTGTAAGACTAGCGCTCCAATGCTCATATCCATTCTGGGATACAATGCAGTTGGGATACTTTCAAAATACGAGTAATTTTACTTAGGTCACGACAAGCTTCTGTGACCCACAAAGTGGACAGTGATTCCGTTGTACGCTATACTACGGAAAGTACTGTTAACGTAAACGGACTGCTGGTGATAATGTTAATTCCGTACGGCAGATCCTTGGCAAGAAAAGGTCTTCGAACATCGGTCAGTGCCACCGGCACCTCGTAACGGTCAGGATCAGCAGAATCCAAAAAATATTTTATTTGAAGGAATTATCAGCTTCATTTTCAGATACTGTACAACCACCGAAGCTTTCGCTCACCCATTTCTGGGACATTTTCGTGTGCTCACTGTTTTATAATATTTCATGGCCAAAAGATTTTTATTCAATGACGTGCATATCGCATTTATTTGATATTTAAAGTAAAGCAAAAGTTTCTGCGGATTTATACGCAAAAACTGCATTTTCATGGACAGTATTTTGCATGGACAGTATTTCCATCCATTACCCGTATAATGAAGATGAAAATTAATACAAGTTAAACTTATTTATGAAGGTACCTGAAACCGTAATGTATTTTCGGAAAGATACTCGGACCGGAAAGGCGGCGCTTGAAAACTCAATTGGTCGCGACCGAGGTACGTGCGGAGCCAAAAATAAAGTATGGATAGCCTTCAGAACGCCCCCACTGGACCAATCATCAGGCAGATATCCGTATAGATAATTCTTCACTCGATACCCGATTTTTCCGGGCGCCAAGTAGCACGTTGGCGGCCCTAAGAGATTGCCGTCTGACGGTACATCATCGTTCTTGTACTGACATCAGCGAACAACGATCCCGACATTTCTGGACACTGAAGGCTTGGACTTCTGTGCCACGCTTGTCCGGAGTACATGTGATACGGAGATCATAAGGAACAAAATCTATGCGTGGTGGGTTTCGCCTACGCTGATTAGGACAAGTGGTATGGTCGTCACCGGTAAAATGACGATTATGCCACAGAATAAAATACGGCATCTATCTGTACACATCCATTTGCAACGGACCGTCCACACTAGGAATTTCTTCTCCGGCCACCGGCTTAGCTGATCGGCTAGATGAACTCAGCGTTCCCGTTTCGGACAGGCGCCCGAAACGAGGTGGAAGAGGCGGTGCAACTGCCGACGATGGTTGCTGTATATCGCACGATGGTATGTTGTCGTAGGTGTCATCGCCCGCGGGGTTGATACTTTCTTTGGCCGCATAATTATCGGCCGAGCCGTCCAAATAATGATCAGTGACAACCAGGTAAGCCGAATCGTAATCGTGATGGCACCTCAATAGGACGGTTGGCGGGATACGGAGTGTTGGCTGATATTACAAAATTGGTCGCCGTATCGTCGGTCTGCATCTTGGGTTAGCTGTACCAGTTAGTACATGTTCTCGTTCTTAACAAGTCAACAAGTCAAACAGGCGAGGTACGGGCGACGAAGTATCTGCGCCACCGGATCAGCATTGACATCCAACGC